TTTACTCACTGTTCACTATCAACATGTCTAAACTACAGAAATTGGAAGGTACTTAATTAATAATTCAGACCCAGAGCATCAGTTTGATACTTTAACAGTTCACCTGAAAGTAGTAGAGAGCAGAGAGACAAAAAAAATATATTTTGATCATCCCAGTGCTCTGGTATCAGATGTTCTTCAGTCATTTCTGTACAGCAGACATCAGACATGCACATTGTTCTAATTGAATTTGCATCTATGAAATAACCTTTAATAGTCTGAACAGAGAGAGTGCAACTATAGCAGATTGCTCTTCTGTGTTCACTCTTCCTGCCTATGGATTGAATTCCTTTGAACGTGGTTGAGTTGCAAGACAGCATTGGTCTTTTGTTAATGTGAACAGGAGAGAGCTGGATGCTGAACTCAACCAGCGGAGAATGAGCCATAGAACTGTAAATACACCTGGTTGATACTACCTTCTGCTTTTGTCTTCACCCATTTTATGTATAAGCTAGAGTAAATCACCATTTATGTAAGAATTAGATCTGTTTATTAATTAATAATCAAAATTCTGATTGGGGTAATTGTGGTAATTTTTGTAGAGGCTTGTGGAAGTATAGCAGTCTATCAAGGTCCACGGAAAGAACCAGATGATTATTCTAACTTCACAATTGAAGATTCTGTAGCAACTTTTCATACACTTAAACAGATAATAGATACAGTAGAAAAACTGAATGAATCGCATGACAAATACCGAAAGAAGAGATCATCTAGTGCTAAATATGGCAGTGAGTAAGTATCTTACATGATTTTGACATACATAAATGTGTTCTTAAAATAATCTCAGAACAAGGCCAGGCTTGCTGAAGTGAAGATAATTAAGTTAAAGGTAGATTTAGACATCACAAAGACATGGAGAAAATAAGGTAAATGATTTGTAGTAATGAAGCTTTTTACCAGTTCTTGGAAGATACAAGCAGCTCCTCTGTTTTAGGATGCCTCTGTGTTCCTGTTGAGATTCTCATAAGCAGGTGAAATGACTCTCATTTCCTTGCAACTTAACATCTGAAGTGTACAAAAAATGTATCCCTGTCTACCTACCTTCTGTTTTTGTTTGTTTTCTTTTTGAATTTTAAATTTCAGTTAAGAAATAATTAACACATCAAGTTATATAAAACTGTAAACATTACACTACAGAAACAGATTTTTGCAAGCAGTGACTATACTACATGGAAGTGACCATGCTCAAGGATAAATACTACTTCTGGTGAAGTAAAAAAAAAACATTGTTTGGAGTACATTGTTGTTTTAGAGCAGATTCTTGCAATTCTCTTCAGTCCTGGTCGATGCCTATGGAACACCACTAGCAATTTTTCTGTTTTCTCCTTTGCATCAACAAGGCTTGATTCACCAGAAAGAAAGGAATGCTCAAAGCCCAATTTGGTTTGCTCGATTTAGTATTTGACCCAAGTTGTTAGGAAAAACTGACTTGATTTCAGTAGGTCTCACGTGAAAGTACATGAGGTTTTCTGCAAATAATGAAATTTCACAAGAAGTGCTAGAAACTATGAAAAAATATAGGTTTGCATAATAAGTTATAATTGTATCATAAGAACTACAAAGCAAACATTAACCTTAAAATATTTACATGTAATATTTTATTTTTTTCCAGAGAAAATCCAATTGTTGGAAAAGTTTCCTAACCATAACAAACTGTGGTGCACTTCAATGAAAAAAGAAACTGGAAATATTCTTGAGTGTTTCGGTGTTTTGTTTTTTTAAAAATCATTATATGCATTTTTGCCAAGTATTTAAGAATGAACATAAATGCTGGTTGTGTTGACAATCTATTTAATATTTAATAGAAAAATATCTACTTGGAAATCTGGTCTTAAGGTTTATTCTCATTTTGCCGAAGAACTTGGAGTTCCAGATTCCTGAAGTAACAGGTGTGAATAAATTTAAATATTGTTTTGCCATTGTTGTCTTATTGGAAAGAACTTTCTAAACATATAAGCTTTTTAATGAAAAAAAATGCACACAGCATTTGTTGGTTGGATTACATCTCTGAATACATACACTGCAGATTTGTATGGGTTTGCCATGAGTGCCTACTCTGCTGATACGGATCTTGAATTGGACATCCCAAGATACTATGACCTGGAAAAGACCTAAAGCTTCACACTCAATTCATTTGACTTTTTTCCTTGTGTTAGGTGTTGTCAGGACTTAATCTACAGCTGAAGTTTTACAGTCATGCAGTATGCTGCAAATAATCTGGACAGCAGATACCAGTGTTAGTTATGTTTTTAAGTACTAAAGGAGAAGAAATCAGGGAACTTGTTTGTACCTCTTGTTTACATTTGGGGTGAGTAATATATGGAGTGACATTAGACCACTATCTATTTTATTTAGATTTTTTTAAGGTAAATTATCTTTTTAGATTAAGAAAAAAAAATGCAGGGTAGTAACATTCTTTTTAAGTAAGTTTGCTTACAGGCAGAAAAATATAAATGTGAACAGATTGTGGTTAAGTAGTGATCAATTTACATCATCCCATGTATGATTTTTTTAAAATAAAAAGTAATAACGAGGTACAGCTCACCTTTTGACTACAAATCTAATAAATAATATCTATTATAATCACTCAAAGCACTTTAGATATCTGGACTATCCCAGATTATTTTTAGATACTTTGTAGTATCTGCTTGTTATGATCAGTTGAATGATCAACATTGTTTTGTCTCTAAGCAATGCTTCAGTTAATATTTTTATATCTTTAGTTATATGGATTCATGTTTGCCACTTAACACAATTCTAAACTGGCAGTCTTGACTTTAGTAAGATTAATTTTTGCTCACTTCATCTGAGAAATTAGGTTTATGCTGAAAGAACATATATGTATATAACCAGGAAGAAGCAAAGATATTACTGTGGCAACTTTGCTTCATCAGTATTAAATACAATGGTACTCCTTGGAATATTATTTTTAACAATAATTATATGTGGTACTTCTATTTTTGGAGCATTTGCTGCGGGGTCTTTTGTTGTCGTTTTGTTGGGTGTTCTTTATTGTTTTGTGTTTTTTTTTTTACAATCATGGTTTGGCCAAATTAATTAGGAATGTAACTTAAAAATAGAATAGAAATCCATGATGCTTGAAACTGTAAGCTGTTTAAATTAATATACATTTATTATACTGTTGTAGGGAGCCTTTCTGTAGTAGAAGCAAGTTGGCAAGACAGGACTGAAATCTCTTTTGGAATGAATGTAACTTTTAAAAATAACTATTTGGTTTCATATGAGACAAACTGTTTTAGAATATCCAGTATTCAGTACTAGTGTCTGCAATGTCACAATCATGTAATGACCTCAGCTGTTTTTTGCCTTTTCCTTTTCTACACATTTGATGTATTCTAAGGAACTTCATTTGCCAACAGTTGAAAATGGGGGGAGGAGAGTGGGAGCTAGTGGGGTATATAAAGCCAAGAAATGTGTTTTGCCAAGGTTAAGTGGATTTGATTGATTGCCATTAATAAAAAGCTGCCATTAAGCAGAGTTGAATGTGGTTGAGTGTCAAAGTTTGGGGTTGCTGAATATGGATATGAATATCCCTGTTGCAAAGTGTCTATTCCTTGGAGCTGTTTTCTGTTGTTTTTAAAGTCAATTTTATGAAAAATTAAATTGTATACACTTGCAAGATTTTTCTTTAAATATGCACTTTTTTTGCTTTGGTACTGGAATATCTGGGAGAAAAAACAAAGGCCATTGAATATTTGTGACCGTTTAAGATTTCATTTCTCATTTTAATGTTTTAAAATGCAGTAGATGTTCTAGAATTTTATTAGATACAAGTAGGATGATTAATAATAAAAGTTGCCTTCATTTTGATTAGTTTAGAAAGATGATGTTATTCAGTAATTAGTTCAGTTAGGATTGTAAATTATCATTAGTTTTAATTTGTATTTTGATGTATTGTTGAATGTATTTTTATTTAAATTTTATTTTCTTATCAAGACATAAAAATGTTTTGTAACATTGAGCATAACTCACAAATAAATTACAACAAACTTGAGGTACGCTGTGTTTATTGTGAGGCCTGGCTTTTTAAAATATTCACATTTATCTGAAAGCTAAATTAATAGGGGTTTCCATAAAGAAATTGGGTGTAAGAAGATAAATCTAGCTGACAGGAAAAAAAAAAAAGACAAAATTAAATTGAAGGATCTTGCTTGGCCAGTTACAGGATCATTGCATTCTAAAGTGGAGGGTTGGAGAGAGGAGTGAAAGTTTATCATTTAGCATAGCAGCATGCATAGAAACCTTAGTAATTTGATATTTTTTTAAATGTTTGCAGTAACTAGTCTGATATATTTCAGGACATCTAGTGTTACCTTATTAGTGTTATGACTAATTCTTTTTTTCTTGTTTACTGATTTGTCTTTCATTCCCTGCCCTATGTGCCAGTGCCAGCTATATCATTTGTCAGACCTTTTTAAAATATATTGCAGATGGAAGAAATCTCAGTCTTCTTTTTTTATGTAATTGAGCACTTTTTTTTTGCCATCTGCTCTCTCCTCCTATGCTTATGGGCATTTTTGAACAGATAGTTTTGTACAAACGTGTTTTAATCTCTTGATGTTTTATTTCCTTGTACAGAGAATTGACCTGTTGTCCTTTATTGCTGGTATGGAAGCTCCTATTAGGAGTTACAGTGCAAACCTCACAGCCATTTTTAAATTTATTTTCATTAATACTGAGGTAAGATGTAATAAGGCCTAGTTTGAGTGATCACTACATTCATTTGCAGTGCTCAGAAAGTAGAGGAAGTTAAAGATGGAATTGTAAGTACAGCAAGAATTATTTCTGTGGACATTATGAATTTTGTGAAGGAGTCTATGATTATTATAGCAGAGTGATACATTATTTTCACTGCTGATGAGCTACCTTCTCTTAACAGTTCATTAAGCTGAGTTTTCTCCAAACCACAACATGAAAAGGTCATTCCCGTTTAAGATCTGAAGCTTCTGTGCTGATCATACTTGAAGTTCTGGGCTGTGCTAGCAACCACTGAGGCATAAAGCCTCTGTAGCTGTCAAGTTCTTCCTAGGACTCTGGATTCCTTGAAAGTCAGTGTGCTAGTTTCTCATGTGATTCTCTACATCTTTGGCCATAGTGAGAAAATGCATACTTACAGCCATTCTGCTATGGCGTGACACATGGTTTGGTTTTTTTGGCAGGTAAATTGACAAGTACTTAAGTGTTCTGATATGTTAGTCTATTGACAGAACAATCTGGCACGTGCTTTAGTTGGCCAAGATACACACATAATTACATAACCATTCTTTGCATTATCATAAAAATGATGTTTCCATAACAGTTTTCTTATTAGTAAAATATCTCCAATTCTATGTTTCAGAGTAAGCAAACTGTGGAAAAAAACCAACATCTCAGAAAGTTGTAAGAGGAAATAAGAAAGAAAAAAAGAGCAAAAGTCAGGTTCTTTCCAGACATCTCCATGCTTAAGATGAGTTCTTATTTACAGTTAAAAACAATGAATAAGTACATAGGGAAAACTCGCTGGAAGAGAGTGGCACTATTTTGTGCTACCCTCCCTTGTGCAACCTCCTTAATGTCATGGGTGTTTGCACGGAATAGATGAATTCTAGAGTGCCAGGACTTTATTTCTCCAAAATGGCTTGAAAATTTTATGCAGATCTTCAGGTGGTCAACTATTAGTTGGGAAACATTTTATTTATGTAAAGCTATATGAACAGAGTTAGAGGTA